TACAGTAAAAAATTAACAAAGCTAACAATAGTTGCAATAATATGTATGTATGTATGTATGTATGTATGTATATATGTATGTATATATGTATGTATATATGTATGTATATATGTATGTATATATGTATGTATATATGTATGTATATATGTATGTATGTATGTATGTATGTATGTATGTATGTATGTATGTATGTATGTATGTATGTATGTATGTATGTGCTTGTGTGCGTCCTTCTTCAGCAGCTCTTCTCATGTCATATGGGGTTACAGATCATGTGGACTGCCTCCCCTCTCTTTTGTTTCCCTCTCTTCCCCCCCCCCCATCTTCTATTTCCAGTTTCATCATCATCTGCCTGCTTACATAATCATCCTTTCCTGGATTTTCCTGGACACCTCAGTTACCTCATAGTGTACAGGCAGTCCGTAACAAAGCAGAGTAAACACCATTTTCAATTTCTAGTATTTACTGATTAGTGATCCTTGGAATTTAGTTTCTGAAAATTACCTGAAAATATAGTAAAGATACATTTAATAACATAAATAAACCTGAATTCCACAGAATCTAAAATTACATTTAATAAATATAAACATACCTATTTGACTGTTGTGTTGTGTGTACTTTTCATGTATCTGGTTACTGTGATGTGTATTCTCTAAACCTTGGATGATGCTATCCTGGTTGGCATTGATATATGACAGAATCCCTAAACAGAACTTGTCTTTTTCTAATACTGTTACATGAATATAATATGTGCTTACTTCAAACTGAATACAATGTGCAGAGACAAGCAACTCATATCTCTGAAGTTCTGAACCATTATTGCTTTATTTCAAAATGGCATCAGCTGGGAGGGCAGAATACCATTCTTATCACCAATGTCTTGCGCCCCAAGCTTCAGCAGCGCCTTTACACAGGCTGTTCTCCGAGCACTGCAAGCAAGCCAGAGAGCTGGAAAAAAATTTGCAATTGAAATAATTAGGTAAGTTTTGTGAATTCAACATCTAATCTGACAGTAAATTTTAAAACCAGATTGAAAACTATGAAAACTAAAAACAAAATTCTCTGTGTCCTCACCTGTCCTTCCATTTTCATCCTGTGTATTAACTTTACAGCCCTGTTCTGCCAGCATTTCTACCAGTGCTGTGTGGCCTTCTTTTGCAGCACTATGCATTGCAGATAAGCCTGTTATAAAAAAAAATGTGTGTGTTTATATATATATATATATATATATATATATATATATATATATATATATATATATATATATATATATATATATATAATAATATATAATAATAATAATAACAAATAAGAAAGAAATGTTGTAATCCAATTAAAACATAATCCCTACAATAAACATTTTCATTATTTTTTTTTTCATTTCCTTTTCAGCAGTTCAGATTATCATATCTTTACTTCAAATTTACAGAGGTCCACAAAAGTAAAATAGAAATGTACATATCAAGCTGCAACTCACCTGTTTCAGAGAGCAGATTGACATCAACTCCATGGCTTCCTAAGAGGAACTCCACCACTTCCGCCTGCCCAGCTTCTGCTGCCACATGGATCCCCATGCGTCCAGTCTTGTCCTTGGCATACACACTGGCATTGTGTTCCATTATCAGTAGCTCAGCGATGTTCCTGTGGCCCATACGTAATGCCTCAAGCAGGGGCGTGTTCCCACAGGCATCAGCTTCATCTGTGCTGTAGTTTCCTCGTGATAACAGGATCCCTATGACGACTTCCTTTCCATGCATAGCTGTAGAGAATCATCATCATCATTGTAACTTTATCAACAATTCTGATAGTAATAAAACTAAAATCTTTTCTTCCTAAAAACTAAGCACTTAAGTAAACAAAATTAATAAAGCGACCAATAGAAGTATGGCTATTCTATGTAATGATTTAAAAATATACAATCGCCTAAAAATAAAATGCTAAATGAATAATTCAGCTCTGAGCACAGACACCATTTCACTACAATACAAATCTGCAATCCCTCTCACATACCCCTAGACCAAAATAAAACTAACCTGCTGTGTGTAAGGGAGTTCTGCCATTTTTAGTGACATTGTTCCACACTGACCCATCCACATCCAACAGGTAGTTAACAATTTCCTTGTCACCCTCTCTACAAGCAAGGTGGAAGCTGGTCCAGCCGTCTTTGTTTTCCAGGCGCAGATTTGCCCCATTCTCAATTAGGTGCCTGATGACCTGGAGGTTTCGTTTCGTGCATGCCAGCATCAGTGGCGTCCAGTCAGCTCGTTTAAGGGGGTCAATTGTTGCTCCTGTGTGGCAGTTTGTCAGTGATATCATATAATGGGTTAGAAAATATTATTCCTATCTTGTATTATAAATGGAAAAGTGATGGGTAAGTTCTCAGCTGAATTCTACTTTCCTTTTACAAAATAAATAATGTATATCTTACATTCCAAGAAAATAAAACAAGGTACAAAGTTATAACTCCATATAGTTACAACAAAATATTGAAAAATAATAAAATCTGATCATCCCATTTCACAACTAACTACAACTTATCAAAACATACTTTATATCCTAAGTAAACATTTTAGGTAATAAAGCATTCATAGTACATAAAAAAGAGAGAGAAAAAATATCTTTATTCTTAATCCAAAACTGCCATCACAATTTTCAAAAGCTCTCCCCTGTCACAAAACTAAACTCCTCCCATACCATGATCCAGAAGAATTTTGACAATGGGCAAGTGTGATGCCTGAACTGCACAGTGCAAAGGCCTCTTTCCATCAGCATTCTGCTGCTCTAGGCATCGATCACAACCTTGAGACAGGAGCCATCTGCAAGGGGAAAATGGACCATTTAAAAACTCTTGTTAATGGAAAAGAAATAAATATACATTCTAATTCACATTAACTCATAGCCCATGGAAGATAAAGAGTACACATCATGTCCCCCCATGTATGGACATGCCATGAGTTTTTTTGTTACAATTACAGCAAAATATTATTTTTTTGCCACTGAAAATATGATTAAGTAGTGTGCATGTGTATGCGTATGTGTGTGTGTGTGTGTGTGTTTGTGTATGTGAGCATACGTATGTGTTTACATGTACGTACGTGTATTTGAGAGTATTGCGGGAGTGGGTGGAAGTTGAGAGTGTGACACAGATATGCAAAATGGTCAAGTCAAGTGAAAAATTGAGGAAGAAGAAGAAACGAGTGAACAAACAAACAAACAAACAGACAAAAAAAAAAAAAATCACATTTTTATAAAAACACTGAACATAAAATTATATCTATATGGAAGTGATAATATAAACCAGTTGAAACTAAAGTTTGTTTTATAAAATAACTTGGAAAAAAAAAGGCAAAAGAAAATACAACAAAACCTTAGGTTTCAACTCCATGATACCACACACTGATAATTTTATTGACTATAGAGTGAATAATGATCAACTATGGAGACATCAAAAACTCCTAAAACCAAAATGCAGTAAGGGACAAAACCTCAACCCTTCCTAACATACCCCAACACTTGTGTGCAGCCAGCTGAAGCTGCAACATGAAGTGCTGTATCTCCGGACTTGCTGTGGACAAACTTCCGCCAATCTGCACTCAATTGGCTTGCATTTGCCTCAAGCCAGTGCAAGTCACTTCTTTGGATGGCTGATAACAAGTCATGGTCCTGTAAAATAAATCAGTATTAGCAATCCTTAAAATAAAATAAAAATATATTTAATATTCATAACTGCTAATTATCAATATATATACACAATAAGACAATAACACTGAGTAATAAAAAGCTACATATAAACATATACAGTTCTCATCAAAGCCTCACCATATTCATTTGTCACAACTAAGGCAAACTGTTGAGATTGAAAGTACAGTTTACATTTCAATTTATATAAATTGGGAAATATATATAAATCAGTATGTTAGAATGTATACTAAATTTACAAAGGTGAGGTTGAAAGAGTATATATAATTCTAATCTCATATAAAATAATATATACAGTAAGTAGGGTAAAGCAGTTGTTCCCAACTTGTTCTACTGTGTGGCCCTCAACACATTTATAATAATCTCCATAGCCCTGTTCAGTGTCTGTCATCTTTTTAGATTCAGTTATTTCTAGTTATGAATAGTGTAATGGTGCCTACAGCTATTTGGCAAGAACACTTTATGGAAAGATTCCAGTTTAATGATTTGTGAGAAATAATTATCTGCATTTACTGTGAATGAGACATAATTAAGTTTAATTCAAAAGTCATAATTTTCATATTGCTTCATAACCCCCTGACAGTATCCCATGGCCATCTGGTAGGAAATCCCTGGGCTAATGTTTCATTAATAAAAAGGCAGTCTAAGCATAATAATAATAATAATTATAATTAATAATAATTTAGTTTGACTCCATTTGTTACAATGGATATTCTTGGTGTGACATACTGTCTGTTTTATTTTGCTTCTAAATTATCCCATGTGTGCAAGGAATGGCCGGGGTTACCATCCACTGGTGCTGAGGGATTCGAATGCAGGTCAGCAAGATTGCTAAACGAGATCGCTACCGCTGCACCACACAGTACAAGCATGATAAATACAGGTAAGTTAATAGAATAAAAAATCACATTCTCTTATCACTTGTCAACAAACCTTTTGGAGTAGTTTCACAACCCACTTTACCCATTTGCATAATAGCTATTTGTTACATTCCTAAATGTATCCATTTGTATTGGCTAATATTTCAGCGCATGTATATACTGTATATATGATCAGACTGTGTAACTTGCCTAATGGTATGCATACTTAAGCTAACAGCTCAGTGACACCCTTTATATGGATAATTTAGATAATGTCTCACCTATTTCAAGAGGTGACCAGGAGCCAACAAGAATTTAAAAAATATTTCAATATGTGTGTGTGTGTGTGTGTGTGTGTGTGTGTGTGTGTGTGTGTGTGTGTGTGTGTGTGTGTGTGTGTGTGTGTGTGTGTGTGTGTGTGTGTGTGTGTACCTATAAAAA